CAATAATAAAAACGACAAAAGTGCATAACAAAATGACAAAAAAAAAAACTATACACACATATACTGTATATACACACAGGTATATACTGTAATCTGTAATTGTATTTGAATAATACGAAAATAGCTTTATATTAACAACTCAAACACTGTATTGACCAATTAGCATGTATGCATTTTATAATCCATTTTTAATCCAATTTATAATAAACACTTAAGAATAAACATAAAATAAGTATTTTTTTCTCTCTTCTTTTGCTTGCTTACTTGTATTTTTAAATACTTGACTGAATTGTAATCAGATCTCATGCTAATGCTGCTTAATTTTCTCATAGTTTACCCAAGACTGATTCAGAAGAAAACGTGAGGTATATCGTATTTAGTGTGTGTGTGTCTGTGTGTATACAAGGGACCTTAAAGGACATCCAGTGTCCCGAACATGAACTGTTTGAACAGTGGACTGAACTCTGATGAACAGACAGGACAAAGTAAAAAAATAAATAAATAAATGCTTATATTATATAGAGACACACACACACACACACACACACACACACAGACACAGACACAAAGTAACACTTGACTTAATTTGATTGACTCTTTTGGTGTGATTTGCTTGTTTCTGTTCTCTGATTGGTGGATATTTCTTTGCAGAATCATGGGTAATGTAGTTTTTCTACTAGGGATTTTGCAGTTAAACATGATTACTTGAAATAATATAAAAACAAATACTATAAGCTAACAACTTTATAGCTTGCAGCAGTTCTGTCATTAAAGATTTACAAATTATTGTTCAAAATCACTTCTGTGTAAAAAACGAATGGGATTTTTACTTCTGGAACCCGATTGGCTGACATGTAAATTGTGGGCGGGGTTTGGAGAGCATGTGTGTAAAGGTTACCTGCAGCACATGTGCTTTGACACGATTTCACAGAAAAAAAAAAAAAGACACTGCGTACAATTATTTGTGACTTTTAAATATTTTATTAGGTTATAATTTGCAGAGCTTAAAATATTAAATCGCCTTTAACTTAAAGTATTATTAAAATACGTAAAACAAAAGCCAGAACTGAGGAGCCCTGAAAAAACGTCAGCTAAAACCGAAACGAAAAGAAAAAGGAAACCGAGAAATAAATTAAATAAAAGGAAAAGGTCCGATCTTCTCGTCGCGACACAAACTCTCTGAACAGTGATGAAGGGAGAACTAAAACATCCGTCGCTCGAAGATAATAATCTTTGCAATCAATACATACAGACTAAGTGTACATTCTTTTCCATTCACAAATCGTCTTTTCAGAATGAGGCTAGAGACATGATTCCCGAGACGCTTCCAGAGCCAGAGCGTTTGGATTCAACAGCAGACAAACGCAAATGTCTTTGTCACTCGAGGGAGGAGGTGTGAACCCAGTTCACCTCGTGCCTCCTCTACAGTGCTCAACATGCAACACAAGTCTGTCCCATATAAGTAGAGGGAGGATGGGATTGCTATATGATGAGTAAAGTGACACCGAGAGGCTTATGGGTGAGCAGGTAGCATTGACAGCTCTCTCAGTTCCTGAGTGCAAAAGCCATGAACACACACACACACACACACACACACCCCTTTTACCCTATAAAAATGGAAAAGAAACCTTTATACCGAACACGAGGACCAGGCCGACACCCTTATCAAACCAAGAGAGGGGAAACTGCTGCATCAAACGGAAAGCGTAAAACGGGAAGGAAACCGAAGCACGGTCAGGTTGTTCTTGGTTAAAGGGTTAGGCGGCTGCCTCTGAGGTCATTCGGCGAGAGCCTGGCGGAGCGCTCCGAAACGGGTCCTAAAGAGAACAATGTTCTGGGAGGGTGAAGAAGGTCTGCGAGTCCCAGCAGTCCTTCTGAACCCTGGCTTGGCAGGTCAGAGACGCAGCGGCGCCGGACTCATCTCTCCGTCACGTGGTTCTGTGGCTGAGGAGGCAGCGGCGTGCACAGGGCCTCCGTCAGATCGTCCATTATCGACGTCTCCTTGGGGTCCATCAGGTTGAATTCCCTTATAAAAACCACGAAATGCGTGTAGAGTGTGTTTATGTGTCCGTGCAGGTCCATGGCCACCGTCTCCTTGTAGTGAGACCAGTAGATGTGTGCCAGAACGTGGAAGAGATACCTGCAGATTTTCTTCACCAGCGAGTCGAAGGTGTTGGGGAACTCTTTACCTGCAGACGACCGGACAAACTACATCAGCTCCCACACATTTAGACCAGTGAATGTGATGAATGAATGACGTGTGCACTACTGTTCAAAAGATGAAAATTGTGAAATATTTTTGCAATTTAAAACAGCTGTTTTCTATGTGAATATCTGTTAAGCTGTAATTTATTTCTGTGATGCGCAGCTGTATTTTCAGCATCATTACTCCAGTCTTCAGTGTCACATGATCTTCAGATATCAGTATAATATGCTGATTTAAGAAACATTTCTGATTATTATCAATGTCGTGCTGCACAATATTTTTGTGGAAACTGAT